GTGTGGGCCGGGCCGGGGACCCGAAGGGGGACACCTCCCACCCCCCCGACCCCCGGGGCTCTCCGAGCTGTCCTGCGCTCCTCTTCAAAGCAGCTGCGTGTCGAGGGGAGCCTTCCCCCTCCTCGCAGCCTGGCCCCGTGTTTGCCGTGGCCTCAGTAAAGTCTTCCAAGCACCCGCGTGTCCGGTGTCGGTCAATCCCCGTGCCGCAGGGTGGGTAATGCAAGCTCCGGTGCTGCGCCCGGTCACCGCTGCGGTGGAGATCTGGGGTTTCCTCACTGCGGTTCGGCCTCATCCCTTGGCGTTGGGGGGTGCGGCGCTGCCAGCCTCGTCCTGCTGGGGCTGACCCCAGCGGCCGCTCGTGTGCCATTCTGATACTTGAGCTCCTCTTGCTGCTCCTGCAGGCTTTTTCCCTCCGTTGATTTGCTCTAAAAGCCCCTTTTTTTACTGCTACTTCAATTAGCAGCAGCCTTACCCCGTCCAAAAACAAGCTGCAGCGTGGGAACCTTTCCCTGCCTGCTCCCCAGCAAATGTCATGGATTTCTCTGCAGAGCTCTGTCCTCCTCGGGCACCCCGCGGTGGTCTAACAGCCCTGCAGATGACCTGCCCGGCTCCCTGCTTCTCCTAGGTGTAAAACTGCTCATTAACTCTCTTACCCGTTAGCAAGTTGTGCCTGCCCCACTTCCTGCTCCTTCCGGCTTTCGGGTGGGGACGTCACCTCCACCTTCCGACGGCTCCCGTCTCTCACTCCAGCCCACGGTGATGCCTACCTTCCGCCTTGCGTGCGGCAGCTGGTGGCAGTGGGGCTGCGCCGGGTGCGAGGTTGGTGGTGGCCAGGGCATGGAGGAGCAAGTGGTGATGGGCAGGTCCCTCCACCGGCCTCTGTCAATGACCTGGTGGTGGGGGCCAGGCTGGGCCCCCGAGCACTGCTCGGCCGGGCTGTGCTAGCGAGCAGGAGGGGAGAGGTTCATGTCCTCAGGCTGTAGTGAAGCTGATAATAACGCTAATTATCCCAAGCACTTGTTGCCCGTGCAATCGGTACTGACTGTGGTCTGCCGTGCCCTTCAGCACCCGCTGGAGATCAGGCGTCGCATCTTCTGGTTACGAACCCACAGCGATAACGAGGAGGAGGATGCTTTGCCCTGCCATACCTCGGAGGTGATCTCCCATGTCACTCTGCCATGAGGGATGAGGCCATGCTGCCAGCTTTCTTCTTTTAGAGCTGCTTTCCTTCTGAAGGCGGCACTTACTGAATTTGAGCTTCAAATGCAATGACTTTGTTTCCAAGCATTTGCACGCTTAACTCTTAGGTTGCTACTTTCGGTTTCCTCCCAGCTGGCATTTTGCAGCACCGTTCCCACCACTGGCAAGAGTCATCGGCCACGGGGCGCTGCCGGAGCAGTGCGAGCGTCCAGAGGGGTCCTGATGTCCCCAACAGAGCTGGTAGCAGCCCGGGTAGTGGAACCGGCACTCTGCTTTTTACCTCTGCAGAGGAGATGTGGCTGGAGAGGGAGAGGGCTCCAAACCCAAGCCTATCAGGGGACTAATTCAAAATAATCTTGAAAAATTGAAGAAAGCCTGAAAATGCAGGATGCAATTCCAGGCAGACGAGCGCAGGTGCTGCAGTTGGGCAGGAGTAATCAGTGCTTCGAGGGGAGTCGCTTTCCCGGTGGTACTGGGGTCATGGAGGCTCGTGAGAGGGGCAGGAATAAGGGTCATGCTGTGGCAGATAAAACAGACTTTGTACAAACTTGGAATGGAAAGGGCCGCTGCAGAGAGACGGAGCGACCTGCTCGACCCCTCTGCTGCGGGCAGGACGATATGCTGGATGGCAATGCAGCGGGAGATGCTCGGTGGGGGAGCTCTCCCCGGAGCGCCCCAGCACCCCGGTAGTGCCTGGGGTGAAGGGGGGTCCAGGCGCTCCCAGACCCCATCCAGGCCTCGGGAATTGATGTTTTGGACATCAGCCTGAAACTCCCTTCGGTAGCTCAGATGTTGCTCCGATGCCAGCACAGGCTGGATGTGCCGGCATCTCCTTGCCCAGGCAGGGGGGTCCCTGTGTGCCCCCACTCTGGCTGGTCCCTGGCCCCTCCTGCCCTGCGAGCATCCCGGAGCCACGCACTCATGTCTAGGAGGAGGGACAGTGCCTGGTCCCCTGGTTGGCCCCAGCAGTGCCAGGCAAGGGTGAGGGCAGGGCTGGGCAAGGGTGAGGGCAGGGTGCACGAGCCAGGGCACCGCAGGGCCCCGGGGTGCCACCCATGGGGCTGGTGTCCCTCAGGGAGAGTTCCTCTCCCCGACCGAGCTGGCCTAGCCGAGTCCCCATCAGGCGCCCTCATCTTCCTGGGTATTTTTAGAAGCAAAATGCTGTTTAATTATGAAAAGGCGAAAGACGGCCGCAGGAAGGGAAGCCAGGCAGCAGCGATAGGGCAGCTCTTTCCGCAGAGGGTGCCAGAACAGCTCCAACCGCCGGGGCCGGCCGCCTCCAGGGGATCAACGCCGGGCCCCCGTCCAGGCATGATCCCCGCCAGGAGCCTCTGCTGGTCCCAAAGCTCATGCCACGAGCCTCCATGCACAGGGCCAGTGGGTGCAGGGGATGGCCTGGGGGTCCTCACCGCTGCAAGTACCCCCGTCCCTTTTAGCCCCCTGGACCCCACGGCCAAGCTGCACCCACCCCGGCAGGGGCTGGCAGGGGCTGACAGGGGCCGGCATTCCTTGGGCTCCAGCTCCCAGGCGCCAGTGGCTGTTTTTAGCTGAGTGAAAGTCCAATGTTTTGAGATTTTCTATTTTGAGCAGCAAAGCTGGAGAAGTGGAGCGGCCCCTGACCCCCGGGTGTCTGTGTGGAGCAGGGCAGGGAGCCGGGCAGGACGGGCACGGGGCGGCTGCTGCCCCCAGGGGGGATGTGGTTGCCCCCAGGCCTTCACTCCATGGTTGCCCTCATGGCCCCTTGCACCTTGGGCTGTGCAGGAGCCTGTTCCCACATGGTCCCATCTCCCACGCTCTCCCAAGGGAGGACGGCTTTTCTGGCACTGGGATGTCATTCCTTCATTCCCTCCTGGAGCAAGATCCCAGTAAAGCCCCCAAGCAGGATATGGGGTGTCCCGCCCTAGCCCCGTGCCCCTCATACCCTACCGTGAGGTACGTACGTGCCTCCACGGAGCCCCCACGGCGCAGCACAGCTACGTGCTGATGGGCAGCCAGAGGGGACAGCCCTGGCAGAGAGGCACAGGGCTTGGACTGGGCTGCTGCGGTGGCACGGCCACTCAGCCCGGTGCTGGTGATGCTGCCACATGGGGGCTTTCGTGTCCTCCCCCCGCAGCAGCCATAGGGTCAGTCCCCTGTGCAAGAGGAAGCTGGGGAGCCAAGGGTGTGCAAAGGAGCTGGCGTTTTCCTGGCAGTGGGGCGGGCTGGCGCTCATCGGAGCTGCCATGGTGAGTTGTCACCACCAGCGGATCACCCACGCTGCAAGGAGGGTGGGTGGGGTGACCCAGGTGATGACGGGTGCCGGCGATGGGTGCTGACAAGAGGCAGATGCCAGCCCCAGGCGCAGGCTTTGGTCTTGTTTTATTCAACCCCACGTTTCCAAAAGTACCTCGAGATGCACATCAGCACAGCAGTCCAGGGTCCACGGTGGGGCCGGGTGCTGCCAGCAGCGAGCGGGGCTGGGGGCCATGTCTCCAGTGTCTCGGCAGGGCCCTAGGTGCGGTGCCGGCGGGGGACAGCGAGGAGCCGGCGGAAGGCGGCACGGAAGTCCCGGTTGAAGAGGGTGTAGATGAGGGGGTTGAGGCTGCTGTTGCAGTAGCCGATCCAGAAGAAGAAGTTGAAGAGGGGCTTGGAGACACGGCAGCCCTCCCCGCAGACAGCCCCCAGGCTGTAGGTGAAGAAGAAGGGAAACCAGCACAGCACGAAGGCCCCCATCACCACAGCCAGCACGACAGTGAAGCGCCGCTCCCGCGCCTGCACCAGTCGCCACCGGCACAGCAACACGATCTGGTGCTGG